TGGACTCAAGTGAACCTCAGCTTTCCGGAGTCTATCAGAATACTGGCACAAGTCACCCTGCTTAGAAACCGTGACTCATTCTTTTTTTTTTTTTTTTTTTTGAGTTGGAGTCTCACTCTGTCAGCCAGGGTGGAGTGCAGTGGCCACCCCCAGCCACCCCAGCCTCGACTTGATGGGCTCCAGCGATCCTTCCACCTCATCCTTCCAAGTAGCTGGAATTACAGGCATGCACTGCCATGCCCGGCTAATTCTTTGATTTATTGTCGAGATGAGGTCTCGCCAAGTTGCCCAGGTGGGTCTTGAACCCGCGGGCTCAGGCAGTTCACTCACCTAAGCCTCCCAAGGCGCGGCATTACAGGCTGACCACCGAGCCCGGCTTGTAACTCATTCTTTTTTTTTTTTTTTTTTTAATAATTAATCAGTATTTTTATTATAGTTTTGTGGGGTACAGTTAAGGGTTAGGTGTACAATTACGTTTCATTCAGACACCCTGTTGATAAGAGGTGTTTTCCCAGCCCCAGACAGATATTTGCTACTGTTAATCCCCTCCCCCTCCCCCCCATGGAATAATTCTTAAAAGAGCAAAAGAACGATGGGTGTCTACTATATGAGATTAATACATTGCTTGACTCTGTGTCGGTCCGATCTCAGAGGAGGTGAGCTCCGGGGCAGATCAGTTCTCTGGCAACAGCAGGAGTGAGAAGGGAGACAGCTCTTGGTCGCTGTGCTGGCATCTTAAGGCTGCTTTCTCTTTTGAGAAACCAGATATACACGAAGAAGCAGTGGCCCAGCATGCTTTGTCTTCATTATTTTGTTCCCTTGCTAAGGTCTCTGCATTCTAGAGAAATTATTGCGTTGACTGCTCCAAGAAATTGGGGTCATGCAGTTGGCAATACCAAGGTGGCTTGAGGAGTGGAAGGAACTTGAACTTAAGGTAGTTGTGAACTGGCTGGCTCAGCTGGTCATCCAGGCCCCGTTTCGGGGTGGAGGCTGAGGAGGCGGTCCCGAGCCACTCTGCTGGGGGCTCCAGCCTGAGGCTCCAGGGCCCACAGGGGCCTCCGTGCCTCCTGAGCTTCTGAACTGCCCCCGGGCTCTTGAGCAAGAGGGTGACTCCACGTGGCCGCTGGTGAACTGGCGTCGTGTGGAGCTCCAGGGAAGGCTCCCTTCTGGCCTGCAAACTCGCTTCTCTTCTACGGGAGGCGTGTGCTCATGGCGCTCTTTATCTTTTCATCCCAGTTGCTGTTGCTCTGAGTCTAGTTCTTTTGAAGAGCCTGACGAAGTCACCCGCGTGTCTTTGCAGATACCCTAACTTGGACTTCGGGTGGAAAAAGTCTATGGACAGCAAGTCTTTCGTCTCGGCCTCCCACTCCTCTTCCGCGGAAAACGACAACTGCCGTAAGCACAGCGCACTTGTAGTCCCTGAAAATGCTGCACACCAAGGTGCTACCAGAACCTCCCGTCTAGAAAACCATGACCCAATGTCTGTGAGCTGCAGAACGTTACTCAGTGAGTCACCGGGTAAGCTCCCGATTGAAGCTTCAGCAGATCTCTCCGCAGGTAACGGTCTTTCTCCCGGTAAAAATCTTGCCAACGGCCGTTACGATTTAGCTGGCAGAGACGCTTGCCAAGGAAAGCAGCTGCATCGCTCCAAGCAGGAAATACCTGTGCAACCCACTACCTCACGTCCCATCCAGACTTCCTGCCGCCGCGGGAGCCAGCCCGAGCCCGGCGCTGAACGTGCTCGGCCGCGCCGCCAGCACCTGGACGGAAGTGCCGACCGACCT